TTAGGCTCAAATAGCACAACTTACATCGACACTGGCAGAGTCGGAGCAGAGAAGAGTAGCTGAACAACGAAGCATGAGCGAGACCGTTCAACAAATCAAAGAACAAGTGATAAACGTCGCTCGTCGACCTACTACTTCGGCTCCCAAGGACACCGACGACGACAGTGATGATGAGGATGATTATGTAGATCCCACTCCCTAGTTTAGATCACTGGACATTTATGAATTTTTGAAAGACTTTATAAATCTATAAATTGTGATTTAGATACTTTTGAATGTTATTTTAAGTTTGTTGTTTTATGTTTTGTGTAGATTGTTTATAATTGTGTGTGATTGATTGAGCTGAAAGTGTAGAATTGAATTGAATTGAATTTGCAGGTAGGCAGCATAAACTACCAGTTTTTACTGTAAAAATATTACAGAAAAAGCGACGGACAGCGTAGTTTTGTTCGTCGCTTTTCTGGAAATTATTTTTTTTGTAGAAAAAGTGACGGACAGTGTGGTTTTTTCCGTCGTTTTTTTGGATCTTCCAAAAAAGTAATTTCCAGAAAAGTGATGGACAACGTCCTTTTGTCCGTCGCCTTTCTGGGATTTTCAAAAATAAAATTTCCACAAAAGCGACGGACGGTGTCGCCTTTTGGATATTAAAAAAAATGAAAATTAAAATAGAGCGACGCAGTTCATCTCATTTTTTAAAAAAAATTCAAAAAAAAAAAAACCAAAAAAGCGTCGAGCTAAAAAGCGACGGAAGTGACTGCGTCGCTTTTCCATCGATTTTGACCCAAAAAGCGACGCAATCCGTCGCTGTGTCGCTTTTGGCTGTCGTTTTTTAGTAGTGTATAGACCAGTTAACTAAGAAAGAAGCAAAACACCAATCATATAAACTTGGAGAAATTTTTCTATCACTCTTTCATCATGAATCAATTTTTCAAAAACTCAAGATTGGTTCTTGGGATTTTCAATTCCATTAAAATCCAACCAAAAAATAGAAAATTGACTAGGCAGTTTTTCAATCAGTCTGAATCTTGGAAATCAATGGATGGTTTTGTTAAACGTAGAAGAAATTGAGTGAGAAGGGTTCAGGCATTTTGTTTAATAGATGGATTTGAGGCGGGTTTATTAATTGGGTGGGGTTTAATTAGTAATGGGTGGGTAATGAGTGATAAGTTATATTGATAAATTAAATTATAATCAATAGTTGAGCGCAACGTATTTTAAAAGATATTTAAATAATTTAAATTTAAAACCATTAAATAAGTGGTCAATTTTGAACCCAAAGGTGGATGACAAGGGTATTTTGGAGCCAATAGATGGATGGAGGATAGTTTTATACCATTTCCAATACTTCGAATGTATTTTAACCCTTTTCCGTAATGCAAATAATCTTTTTCTACAAGCTTAATTGTTATAATGCCCTTTCAACTTCATAACTTGAAAAACAAAATGGTATTTATTGGTTACTTTAATTTGATGTCTCGTTCTCGAGGGCTAATTGTCTTTTTCCCACTAATCCAAATGACATTTTTTTTTAAAAATATTAAAGGGTAGGGGCAAGATCCCCCTTTATATTATTAAAAAAATCCAAATGACATTTACCAAGTACCATCGCTAAGAAAAAATATCAGGTCACGCATAAGTAACTTCTTATTTTATTAAGGTACATTTTTAGTAGATAATAGGAAAATTAATGTGGACGAACTGCCTGCTTTGGCTAAGTGGTTTTGAGGTCAAAAAAATATATTTTTGAAAAAAAACACTTTTAATAATTTGAAGTAGAAATACTTTTTTTTTTTGGGATTGCAAAGATGTTAACTAATCGGCTTCTTGAGAAAAGTTGAAGCAAAAGTAAAAAAACAATATTTTTTTTCAAAACAAAAATATCTTCTACCATAAATACATATTTTAACAATACATCTCTCGTTAATTTCTAATTACAAAATAACCTTTTTGGTTACTACATATATCAACTCACTTCTTTTTAATGGGATCTCAATAATGTATTTAAATGATAAAAATAAGATGGGCTAAGGCACGATATCCCTTAGACTATAACCAAAATCTCAAAGACACATCTAAACTTAACTAGGGTTCTATTACCCCCCTAAACTTATTTAAAATGAAATAAATACCCATAATTTTTTTAAATTAATTTATTATCTTTCACTTTTAATTATTTTTTAAAAATTATGTGTATTTTTAAAAAATAATAATTTAAAAGTGTCCTTTAAATTTAACATTTTAATTTATTTATGTATTTGATTTTATTCACTTATTTTGATATCCTTCAAAATTAACTTATTTTATATTTAAGATATTTGGAATTAAATTTGAAATCAAATCAAAATGAAAGACAAAGAAAATAAAATCAATAGAAAAATAAAAGAGAAAAAACAAGGGAAAATGCATAAGTACCCCCCCAGCCTATACCCGAAATCCTAGAGACACACCTAACCTTTACTAAGGTCCTATTACCCCCCCCCCCCCCCCGAACTTAATTTATCTATAATATTCTACCCCTTTTCGGCCTACGTGGCACTATCTTTGAAAATTTTGTCAACATGCGCTGGGCCCACAAGATAGTGCCACGTAGGCCAAAAAGGGGTAGAATATTACATATAAAATAAGTCCGGGAGGTAATAGGACCTTAGTAAAGGTTAGGTGTATCTCTGGGATTTCGGGCATAGGCTGGGGGGGTACTTATGCATTTTCCCAAAAAACAATGAATGAAGGTAAAAAAAAAGTTTCGATACAAGGTAAAAAAATGTGTAGATAAAGAAAATAAGAATATTATAAAAAAATTAAAAAAAATAAAAAAATAAAACATTTAGACACGTGGCATGCAAGTGTGTACAAATACAACCAACTTGGGTGGTTGAAGATGCCACGTCAGCACAAAAGGTGCACAAAAATACAAAAAAAAAATGAGTTCAAGGGGGGGGGGGGGGGTGTTAATAGCCCTAGTTAAGTTTATGTGTGTCTCTGGGATTTCGGTCATAGTTTAGGGGGGTACTTGTGCCTTATCCCAGATAAATTTACACTTACTTCTTATTATAATTATGAAGTTGTATTTTTATATATTTTGAATTTTGTACCGTGCTCGACAAGATGAGGGAAGCGAGATTGAGATTGTTTGGACATGTGAAGTCAAGATGCATAGATGCATCAATGAGTAGTGTGAGAGGTTGGTTATAGAGAGTAAGAGGAGAGGCAAAGGTATGCCAAAGAAATATTGAAGAGAAGTAATAAGACAGGATATGACGCAACTTCAGATTATGAAAGACATGACCCTAGATAGAAGGGTGTGGAGGACTCTTATTAGATAGAAGGGTACGTAGTAGATAGTTATATTATTATAGTTCTTGTTTTCTTATCATGATTTATTATTGTTTGTTAATAATAATCTAACTAGTATGTCGTTTATGACATTTCAATTACCACCTTATTTTAATGTTGTTTTGACTACTTCTGCACTAATTCCTGTATTGATTTTCTCTTTATTGTCTTCTTCTTTATATCGGGATTTGTTGCACTTGAGCCGAGAGTCTTTTGGAAACAATCTCTCTATCTCCATGAGGTAATGGTAAGGTATATATGCGTACACTCTACCCTCTTCATACCTCATTTATGAGATTTTATTGAATATGTTATTGTTGTTGTAGTATATATAATTCATTTCTTGTTAAAAAAGGATGTTATTTTTCTCTTTGCTCTTCAAGCAGCATTACTACTCGCACGATTTAGTTCGTGAAGTGATTTTTAAATTTATTTTGCCTAGTTTTTTTTTTAAAAGTACAGAGCAGGTAGTGGGAATCGAACCTAAATTATGTTAATATTATACCAATATTTAATACTTTATTTGATTTATCTATATAGTATATTGATATAAAATTAAACATGTACTTTTTAAATTTTAATTAAATAACATAAAAAATTAATTAAAGTCCTTAATAAATCATTAAAAATAATTTCTCTTATAAATTTTTTTTTTCAAAAATACTCTTCTAACAAGAAGTTTTTTCAATAAAAGTATTTTCCAAAATAAAGAGGTTTTAACCATTCTGTTATGATCAAATATAGTCCACAATATACATCATGATGTCTGCGGACATCTTGACAATGAAAGGAGGACTTCTATGCAATAAATTGGTAAATTATGCCCATCTCTTAAGGGAAAAAAAAAACTCCAACATGGTATGAAGTGTTAAACTAGGGGGCGTGGGGGTGGGGGAGTTATGTCAATTCAAAGTAATCTGTGGGCATGAAACTCTCTCTCTCTCTCTCTCAATAGATTTATGAAAATACCGAGCATTACGGGGTTATGATGGAGTGGTAAATATTTCTTCATTCTTAATTAGAGGTGTCGAATTTGAGTCGTCTTAGGGAGCACTTTACTCTCTAATATAAAACTCTCCAACGCGAATTTAAATTTAACTCCAATATAAATACCGAACACAAAATAAAAAACCAAAAAAAATAAAAAATACCAAAAGTTGACCAAGACTTAACTCCTCTCAGGAAAGATGTCTGAACCCGTGAAGGTTTCGGAATGTGACCAGATGCTTCCTTGCCATCTAACTATTCTGTGGAAGGTCAACTTTAGACTGCTGTCTACAAAGATTATAAAATATCTTCCATAGGCATATAAATATATATATATATATATATATACCTCTTCCTTCTCTACCCTAATTTATATGATTTTCTACTTTTTCTTTTTAGTCCATCTGACAAAAGAATGACATATATCTATATTCAATAATAATTTAATTTTAAAATATTAATTTCATCCATAATAAAATAATTTATAGTCATACAAATATGTATGACTTATTTTAGAGCACAAGCTTTAAAAGTTTTTTTTTTCTTTTTTAAACTTGTGCTAATTGGGAAAGGTGTATATATAAAATTTATTTTTTAATAAAGGACTAAACAGAGTGTTTGGTGTTTATTGTATATATTCAGCTGCATGTCTAACAATGTGATTAACATATTGTCCAACTATGGTTGTTTTTGTCTCTTTATCTTCTCTCAAATACTTGCTTCTTATCATAATTATCCCTTTAGTCACTTCACTCTCCTTCAATTTTGATACTTTTACACCCAATGATCACAATGTAACCTATGAGAGAGATGCTTCTCCAGAAAATGGTGCAATTCTACTCACCAAAAACCTCCTCAATCGCGATATTAATGCTAGTATAGGTCGAGCTATCTATTCAAAACCACTGCATCTATGGGACAAGGCCTCTCGAAATCTCACTGATTTCACTACACATTTCTCCTTTAGCATTAATTCACAGGGAATAACTAAATATGGTGATGGTTTTGCCTTCTTCCTTGCCCCTGCAGGTTCAACAATTCCTTATAATACAACAAGAGGTGGAAGTCTTGGCCTTACAAGTAATAATGAGCGACTAAATTCATCGAGCAATCATTTTGTTGCTGTGGAGTTTGACACCTATCAGAACCCCTATGACCCAAAGGGTGATCATGTAGGTGTCGATATCAACTCTATGCAATCTCTTGTTAATGTGACTTGGTTTAGTAGCATTCCAAATGGTACGAAAACTGATGCCTGGATTAGTTATAATTCTAACTCAAAAAATCTTACTGTTGTCTTCACTGGTTTTCAACTCCAAGGGAATAATATCACAGTCACTGTCCTGCAGAACCTATCTTACAATCTTGATCTGAGGGAATATTTGCCAGAATGGGTCACTTTTGGCTTCACTGGTGGAGCGGGAAGGAGATTTGCATTTCAAAGAATCTATTCTTGGAATTTTACTTCTTCTTTAGATAATATGACAGATACAGGGGTAACCTTATCAAACACCATGCCAAAGGATGCACCAACAAAAACTAAGTTAGGACTTGTGGTTGGATTGATTTCTGGTGGTTGTGTTTTGGTTGCAGTATGTGCTTTGGTGTTATTTGCATTTTGGAGAAAGAGTAAGGTGAGAGAAGATGATTATGTCTTTGATGGTTCCATGACTAATGAATTTCAAAAAAGTGCAGGACCAAAGAAGTTCTTGTACAGTGAATTGGCTAGATGTACAAATAACTTTTCACAGGAAGAGATGCTTGGGCGGGGTGGATTCGGAGGTGTTTATAAAGGATATCTCAGTGAATCCAACTCTTATATTGCTGTTAAGAGAGTTTCAAGGGAATCACAGCAAGGAATAAAAGAGTATGTATCAGAAGTCAGGATCGTCAGCCGGTTAAGACATAAACATTTGGTGCAACTCATTGGTTGGTGCCATCAAAAAAGAGAACTTCTACTTGTCTATGAGTTTATGCCTAATGGAAGCTTAGATCACCATATTTTTAGTGGAAAAAGCCATTTGGCATGGCCACTAAGATTCAAGATTGCTCAAGGCTTGGCCTCGGCGTTGCTATATCTACACGAAGAATGGGAACAATGTGTGGTGCATAGGGATATAAAGTCTAGCAATATTATGTTGGATTCTAATTTCAATGCCAAGCTTGGGGATTTTGGGTTGGCTAGGCTAGTTGACCATGATAAGGGATCCCAAACAACAGTTTTGGCAGGCACAATGGGTTACATGGCTCCGGAATGTGTCACCACTGGCAAAGCTAACAAGGAAACAGACGTCTATAGCTTTGGTATTGTCGTGTTAGAAATAGGTTGTGGAAGGAAACCTATTGATCCTAAAGCAGAGGAGCATCGAGTAAACATTGTCGATTGGGTTTGGAGACTTTATGGGAAGAGAAGTATTCTTGAAGCAGCTGATCCGAAACTATCATCAGAGTTCAATGAAGTGGAGATGGAGCATTTGCTAGTTGTTGGCTTATGGTGTGCTCATCCAGATAATAATTGCAGGCCTTCTATTAGGCAAGCAGTTCAGGTGCTTAATTTTGAAGCTCCATTACCCACGCTCCCTCGGAACATGCCTGTGCCCACATATTGCAGCTTCTCACGCTATTTACCAACTATTTTAGTTTCATCAACACATGAAACCAGCGGTACAGAGATCGCCCTTGCCCAAATCCAGCATTCAGTAAACGGAAACACCACTGATGCTTCAATAAAAAGAACATCTTCTTCAGCATTTTCATCTTCATCTTCAACATCAGTTTTGTATCCAAGTTAATATTGCCCTGTTATAACCCTGCATTTTGTCTTCCATTAGCAGTGTCCATCTTTTCCTTTCTTACTTTTTGTTGTTTCTCTTCTAATGAAGAGGATTCTTTGGATTACATTTCCTGTAATTTTAACTGTTCTATTAAACACTGATAATACTATGCTTTCAAGAACATGTCTCAAGAATTACTCAATTCCGAATTCAATCTAGATTAGAAGGCTAATTCATTAAAGCTTAGAGCACGTGATATTCTTTATCAAAATGTTGGTAGACATGATCAGTTGCTTTATTGCAGTCTGGACAGGACAAGAAGTTTGGTTTGTCTACTTGTCTCGTGCAACATTTATTTCCTTGCACAAAGTAGATTAAATGACACTAAGTACATTCAGAAAGTGTAATTCTGTAACTATAATTAGAATCTGAAAATTAATCAGAGAAAAGAACTGACTAAAAAAGCAGGCTAATATCAAGTTTAATATGTGGCTACCTTCTGATAAAGTTGTGCAGATGTTCAGAAAGATATCTACATGACCATATAGAGTATTTGTCTCTTCATATCTTTTGTACCTATGTTCTGAGAATGGGGTAAAAGTTTGGACCCAAAATAACCACCTTTCCCGAGTGCTTCCTCCCGTTAAGATGTGCAGCCATATCAATCTCACCAGAGCATCTAACGTTACAAAAACCACACCATAGCCTAGAATTGTGTGTAGCACAATCAGAATTCATCACTTGCTTCAGCTTTTCATGTGGTCCAGTAGCTACTAGTTCAACCTTTTCTTTAGGTTTTTCATTAGGACCGTGTTTTTCTTGTACTGGAAATGCTGTTTCCTTGACCTGCATGCCTGTAGTATTCTTTGCGATCCAAATAAGATTTCCCTTCAGGCGTTTAACCTGCAGTACCACAGGGACATTTTAATACCTGACATACGGATTACTTTTGATTGCTTATATAAAACAAGTACTAGGATAGCATAAATGTGGTACTGATGCTTTAAAAAAAATTAAGAGCTTCAATTCTCTCCCTTTCTTAGTGGCTTCATATGTGCAGGAGAAACAAAGGCTTGAGATCATACTAAGATAAATGAATCTAGTGCAAACTTCAAAAAGCATTAATTTTACAAAGTGCAACAGTTTATGTTTCAGGTTGCTCGGTGATTCTTTTAGCATAGACAGTTTCTTCTTGGTCTAAATGATGATGAACTTGGTACCAGCGTGCGTAATCCATTGCCATCTTGCTCATTCAGCTTATTTGATGAGCCTTATTTTTTTGCCTTTAAGCTTCATCTTGCACTCTTCCTCTAACTTGGCCACTAATAGCATCACTAGCACCTAATTGTTGGAACATCAAGCTCTCCTCTAGTCATCGATCACACCTAACAGCTTGGTTAACATTTTCATCTATGGTTTGCTTGACAAATTGTCTTCACAAACAGGACCACCCTCTTCGCGCACTATCTGTCTAGGGGCACTATGATTGTTATAGGGGATTTGTAAGGAATGTTAGCAAGTGAAGATGAAATGATTTTCATTAACCGCCCAAAAGGGATAAGAATGGGGTTTATTCTTAATTAAGGAAAATTCATAAATTTTAATGCTTTATATAAGACAAGTTATAGCTGCATAGTTTATGGGTTGGAAGGTACACTGCATCTACGCAGAGGAAGCATTTCATAAGTTTGCTGGAAATTAGAAAATCTCATAAGTTAGTGCATCATGTAATAATTACATTATGCAAGACATTCAATTAGTACTGGAGTGATAATGTAGTTTTCAGATTTATTATGAAGTAAAAACGCCAAAAGCAGCAGCATAAGAAGTTAACGACTATTTCATACATTATAGGGAGTCAGGAACAACAGCAAGTGTGACTGGTTTCGGTTTCTCATCAAGAGGCTTAATAGAAAGGATACCTGGCTGAGGGTGAGCATTCCTGATTTATCACAAGTGTCAGTAGCCTGGATCCGTTCTGCCTTGGACTGCAAACAGGAGATAATGATAGGTACACGGATAATGAGTGTTGGGAAGAATCAATTCGATAAAAATTGGCTACTCATTGCTGAGGTAACATCTGATATACCTTGTTTGTAATAAGTTTCTCCTGAGCATCAGATCCATTCTCTTCAAGGTACCTCTCTGCCACAGCCATAGAACTCATAGGTAATTGGTGTTTGGCCAAGTGCTCCATCCCATTAAGATGTGCAGCCATAGCAATCTCCCCAGGGCACCACAGCTTAGAATTATGAACAGCAATATCAGCATTCTTCAGTTGCTTTTGATTTTCTTGCTGATCAACACCTGCTAGGTGGACCGTTTCTTCCAATTTTTCATTAATGCTGTGCTCTGATTGTGCTGCGGCTACATGTTTTGCAGGTTCCTGATTAAGCTGGATTGTCTGCTTTGTTGGAACCTCCGTTTCCTTGACCTGCATTCCTATCGATTTCTTCTCACTCCAAATTAGATTTTCCCTCACACTTCTAACCTGCAGTTACACAGGGGACATTTTAGTCACTGGTATATGGATTAGTTTTGATTGATTATAGAAGAATTAGGCAGAATAAATGTGTTACTGATGTTTACAAAAAAATATGAGCTTCAACTCTTTCTCCTTTTAGTGGCTTCAAATGTTCTCAGGAGAAATAAACACTTGAGAGCATACAAAGATAGATGAATCTAGTGCAAACTTCAAAAGCGATAAATTTTACCAAGTCTGCCAGCTTCAGTTTCAGGTTGTTCGGTGATTCTTTTTAGCATTATACAAAGTTTCTTCATGGTCTAAATGATAATGCACTTGATCTCAGTGTGTATTATCAATTGTCATCTTGCACATTTAGATTGATTGATGAGCCTAATTTTACCTTCATTTAGAGTTAATTCTTAATATTCATTTAGCACTCTTCCTCACTTGGCCACCAGAAGTATCCGTAGCAGCTTGATTAATGTTTCACCTTGTTGAGAATATAATCAAATAATAAAAGTGTGCTCTCTCTAAAAGCTTAAGCTTTTAGATGAGATGGTCACACACTTCAACATGGTATCAGAGCAGGCAGATGTCCTGAGATTGAATCTCACCGCCACCCAAATCAAAAAAGAATTTCCACATGTTTGGCCCATGAAAAAAGAATCAGGCCCACACGTGAGGGGGCGTGTTGAGAATATAATCAAATAATAAAAGTGTGCTCTCTCTAAAAGCTTAAGCTTTTAAATGAGATGGTCACACACTTCAACACACCTATTGTTTGATGAAAAATTGCATCTAGAGATATACTCGTGAACCCATAAATCATAATATTCCAAAAAAAAAAAAAAGGAAATTCAAGGGTTGAAAATTACAACCTGTTTGGGTTGAGCTGCTTCATATTTTGCCAAGTGTTCCATCGATTTGATATCTTGCCAAACAGGATAAGCCCCTTCACACAGTGTCTGTTGTTGTTATTTTTGGATAATGTATCAGAAATTTCATTAGAAATCAGTACCAAGAAGCTAGTAAGAAGTACAAAACAAGGAAAATTACAATTCTCCATTATGTTCCATCTATCCAAAAAATGCCATGCCATTTACCATATGACCCTTATACATGTCTGTTTTGGGGGCACTATGGTTGTTATTTACCAGATTTGAAGGAATGAAAGGAAAATCTGTTTTATGACAAATCATTTTTACTACAAAATCTGTTGTCAACAATGGACAATGCACTCTTTCATGCTTTATTTTAGTAAACTGATAGCTGCATAATCTTTACACAACCTATTCCTCTTGTACAATCAATAATTTATTAGTTGGAAGGGACACTGCATGCATGTCTGCATCTATGCAAACAAAGCATTCCTTCGTTTTTTTTTAAAAAAAAAAGAAGTTTCCAGGAAAAATCCTGGAAGTGTTGTATACAAATTATGAAACACAGACATAGGGGGGCCAGACCTGACCCCTGGAAACAAAGCATTCCTGAATTTGTTGGAAATAAGCTTCAAAAAATAGTGCATGATAGCATAAACATGCACTACATTCAATCCAAACTAAAACTGTGGGCTGATGCCACTTTCGTTTTCATTATTGAGTGAAAATGCATATAAAGCAGCACCACAAGAAGTTAAAAATTGTTTCATACAGTACAGGGAGCTCGGAACAACAGTTGAAGCACCTGGTTGGGGATAAGTGTTCCTGCTTCCACACTAGCATCAGTAGTCTTGATCTCTTCTGCATGATGATTCAAATTATTATCCTTGCACTGAAAATAGGACGTCATGATAAGTACACTGATAGTAAAGCCCAAAGTTGCAATAAAATCCAGTGGAATGTATACATTTGCTTATGTAGTGTTGGGAATCTAACTTTCTCATATAACTAGCTGATGTACATACAAGTGTGTGTCCAGTTTAATAATGTACTGGCTACTCAATGCTGAAGTAACAGCTAACATACCTTGTTTGCAATAAGTTTCAACAAAGCATCAGATCCATTTTCTTCAAGATACCTCTCTGCTGTATCCAGAAATGATTTGTTCTTGAGAGATGGATCCTCCATTTGCTTGTTCAACCAGTCAGCCACAATTTGTAGGTTGACAGACAAACATACATACAGAAAGCGTTGGTAAACATAACAAAACCCATAAAACTGAGTGATAACATCATGCAGTTTCACCAGAAAACATGGATGAATAAGTTTTTGATAAAGATAACACGCGCCATCAAACTGCGGTATCACCAACCAACATATGGTTATTAATTTAATATATGGCCACAGAGGAACCCTGCCAAAGTAGATGGAAGAACATTAGAATATTATTCAACGGGAGTTGTCTTCTCATGTTCAACCACGTATATTGTACAATTTTCCCCAAATGTTTCAACAAACTCTTGAAATCCTCAACTTGGAATTTAAGAAACAGAAGCAAGAACAGACATAAAACTTGAAATAAGTGTGTCATAAGCAGTGACGGATCCAGTTTTCATTAAGGGGGTTTGAAAAAAAAAAAGAGTAGTGCCTAAGATTTGATCTTAGAACCTCAAAGGTGAGTTTTGAACCCCTCAACCACTAAGTCAACCTCTAATCTTACATTCAGGAGGTTCAAAATCAATATATAGACATAAAAATTCTTAAAAACACCTTAAATAT